GGCCTATTACAGGAAAGCATATGCAGAGGGAAGCATAACTTCTTCGAGTATTTCTAAATACTGTTCAGCTGTGAATCTTCCTTCTATGTCAGTCAGCTTTTCAACTCCGTACAAATATATCCATCCCCAAGCATTGCAAGTCACATGGCCACTCCTTGCTTCCTCATAAATATGCTGTCTAGCATATCGGGTGTTGTTCCTCCTCCAGCAATGCAACCTTCCGTGAGAGGTAGATGAGAAAGTTTTTTCGTCAGTGAATATTACTCTTCCCAGAAATCTAGGCCTTCTTCAGCATACCATCGAGCAAACTGCAACCTGCCTTTGCGATGTCGCTCATTCAACTTCTCCTTGGTGGCGGGAGTTTTATGGTGGATGCCTCCTCCGTGAAGTCTTCGCCTGATTGTTAAAAGAGAAATATTTAATTGGAGATCCTCTCTTATTGAAAAAGAAAGTTTTGAAGGGGTTGACCTCAGCGAAATTCCTTAGGGCTTCAATTTGTGCAGGTATTGTTCTGGGCGGCATTCCCGTCCTGTGGTGGTCCTTTAAACTTCCCTCCTCTTCCCATCGCTTAATCCAGTAATATACAGTTGACCGACAAACCCCTAATTCTCGGGCAATTTCAGTGGGTGAAAACCCAGCCTCCTTCATGCCGATTATTCTCCCACTTTCAGTGATTTTCTGCGTGTGGTATTCCATGTTGGCAGGGGCCTTCTACAACTGAAGGAGTGGAAGGGTAGTCAGCACTGACACCACCTCTGTCTCCCTCACATTCCCGCCAATAACGTCAGCGTTATATTTTATTAGGCATTTATAAAAAATAAGTGAATTAATAAATAAAAAATACATAAGAAAAAAATTTATAATACATCATTCATATTTGTTTTAAATATAAAATAAAATATAAAATGTTAAAAGACACCAGACTAAAGGTGACGTAATCCACACAAGTCAGAAACAAGGATATGGATATGGGGGGGGGGGAGGGGGAGACACTTAACGAAAGAAATACTATTTGATGTTTACAATATTCGGAGTTTTGGAATGACAATGATATTGCTAGATAGTGGCTTGTAAAAGTATAGGGCATATCCTCCCGCTCTAATTCACACCATGAGATGGATGGTTCATAAGATTAATTACCATCACCTTCAATTAAACAACGTCATTATTAAACACATACACAGACTGAGACACACACACACACACACACACACTCTACATGCACACACAGGCTACAGGTTGGACAGGCTACAGGCATGGACTACGGAGAACAAGGTCACCATCAACCACACCAAAACCGTAGTCATGCACATAATACCGCCACCACTCCAGTGCAAGCCCCAGCAGTCACAGTGGGTGCCCATCCTCTCCAGCTGGTGGAATCTGCCAAACTCCTGGGTGTAACTATAGACAACAAACTTGACTGGAAGGTCCATGTAAATAACACAGTCAAGGCAGCCTCGTACCGACGACGAGTTAGGTCACTTGGGACACCCACGCCAGAGCTGAGTACCATCTACAACGCCTTTATTCTCCCCAAACTAACGTATGCGTCACCAGCCTGGTCATCTTCTCTCAACTCCACCCAACAACGTCAGCTAGAGAAGGTACAGAAAAGGGCTTGCAGAATCATGCTCGGCGCAGAATACTCCGGCTACACTAACGCTCTCTCCACCCTGGAAATGCCATCCCTCAGTGACCTCCACCACCAAGCACTGGAAAAGTTTGGCAGTGGACTACTGCACCACCCTCGTCATCGCCACCTCCTGCCACCTGCAGCCCCCAACCCAACTCGCGCAGTCTGCCACTACAACAAAATTCAGCCCATAAGAGCCCGCACCATTAGATATAAGAACAGCACCATCCCATCTATTGTTAAAATAATAAACAACTCCTGATTTATGTACTGTACAGCCCTGTAAATGTATTCAATGCATATTATATCATTATGTCTAAATCAAATGTAAGTCTGTATATTTTCAGCCACCGGCTGCAACTCTATTAATAAACCGTTTATTATTATTATTATTATTATTATTATTATTATTATTATTATTATTATTATTACACTTATTACAGGTAACAGTGAACCGATGATTCTGCTTAATCTCACAGCGAATTCAAACAACAGTTTGTGTTGCATGAAATCAGTGTCTTTAGAAAGGAGTCTGTTTAGTATCGGTTACATACGACTGGAGTAATTACCCGAAATGGATTAAACGTTTGAAGATAATATTAGTATAAATAAATGATAAACAGGCAACCTCATAAACAGCCTGCACACAGCTGTGCCCGATGCATGATGTTCTTTAACATGCTTACCGATTTTTACTTATGTTTAATTGTCTAAACATGAATTCATATAGGTTGGCCCATTGCTCTATCCATTTTAAAATCAAATTTGCAGTATATACCAGTAGAAAAGTATAATATAATTCGAAACAACAAAGCCCAATCATTAATTAAGCAACGGGGAACTAAGTAACCAATCACAGATCGCTTTTACATTCATTCATAATTTTTACTACGTAGTATAGTAAACAAACGGCCTTGAGTTGCCAGCTGTCTCCAGCAGTGTTCGAAGAATCTTGAACGAGACTGCACGTCCGATGTCACCCTGCAGTAATTGCATGACAACAGACTTCCTAGTGGCGCCTCAGCCCCTGATTCTCTACATCTCATGGTTGTTGCTGTTGGGGGGGAGCGTGCAGAGTCTGTGCTGATCTACTCAGCCTTAAGCCCACCAGTTTACAATGTGATAGAATTCTAATCGTCAGCTTAATAATGATAATAATAATGATCTTTATTATTACCCTGATAATTGTTTCTAATCTTTGTCTTGGTAACATGGCTTTAAAAGCCTCGCTCCGCTGCCTGCATACCTAAGCCGCTTTAACTAGTGCCACCCACCAGGCTATCCCACTTAATTTCTTCTGAAGAACAAATTCACCCCTAAATGGGATGACTTCCTTTATAATCACATCTACCAATTGTAGTCTAAGTGAGGTGAGATGTATGAATGATCATGTTGACCTGACTCATTCTTGGACCTGACTCATTGTTGGACCTAACCTAGCTTGGAGAAGGACGTGCCCTAAGTGCTCGTATTAGTGACCATAGGAAATGGCCGTCGTGGATCATTGTGTTGTGGGGGAAGAAGGACGGTGTGTGAGGAAAGACTACAGCCTGGCTACTCTGTTAAGTAAGCTGGAGCAGTTGAGGAAAGAGATGGACCTTTTAAAGGGGGAGAACGAAGCCCTCAGGACTGAACTCCTTCAGGTAGGTGTCCTGCCTAGCAGGACACCTGTGAAGGAGGGTAAGGAGGAGCAGGCGTGGAGAGTGGGTGTCTCCAAGGGGACTAGGGTCAGACTCAGGAAAGTTGACCAGGGTGTGGAGTGCACTAACCCCTACCAAGTGTTGGAGGAAGCTGCCGAGGAAGAAAAGAGGCAGGACGATGTGGTGCCAGGAGAGAAAAGGGCAGATGTTCAGACCCTGCCTAGTGGTGAGGTCGTGGTAGTGGGGGACAGCCAGGTGAGGTTCTTGGATAGGACTTTTTGTGCAAGCGATAAGAAACGTAGGTCTAGGGTGTGTTTTCTTGGGGCTGGGATAGGGCATGTAGCTGAGAGGATAGATAGGGTTTTGTCAGGGGAGGGTCCCATGCCAGAAGTGTGTCTTAGTTTAGGAGGTAACGACATAGGAAAGGTTAGGAGTGAGGAACTTTTCAAGAGGTATAGGGAGGCGCTGGGAAGGTTAGAGATAGTGGATAGATCCCGATAGTAAGTGGTGTCTTGCCTAGAAGAGGAGTTGGTGGTGAGTGGTTGTCAAGGGCATTTGGTGTAAACGGCCGTCTTGACAGATATTGCAAGTCAATATCAGTCCAATTATTGACAACTGGGACAACTTCTATGGCAGAAGGGACCATTATGCTAGGGATGGAGTACATATGTCTAGGGCTGGGGTGGCAACCCTGGCTGGCTCTCTCGTTGGGGCAGTTCAAAAGATGTCGAAGTCTTTAAACTGCTAGGGGAACATATGAGCACGGGGGTGGAGGAGACTGCAGTGGGAGCACATAAACAAAGTGAAAGGCTACAGAGAAATAGTGCTAGGAATTATGACAAAACTAAGTTAGACAGGGAGTTAAAACCTAAACGTGACAAAGAGAGGACTCAGACCAGGATTAACTTAGATGTATACTACGCAAACAGTAGAAGTATGAGAAACAAAATGGATGAAATCAGGAATTTAGCTTTGTATGTAGGTCTCTCGTCATTTTTGTAGGTTTTAAATTGGATTGATCTTTTTTTAAATTTTATCGAAGGTAAATTTTCGTATAATGTTATGTTTTTATTGTATATTACTTGTATTCCTGTATTTTAAAACTTTTCAAAACTTTTTGTTTTCTTGGCTCTGATGATGGACAAAGATTTTTTCTGAAACGTTAGTGATTAAAAGAAACCCAACTTAGTCAAGATGTTTGTATGTTCCCTGGTTCTCCTCCTCGTTATATATATATATATATATATATATATATATATATATATATATATATATATATATATATATATATATATATATATATATATATATATATATATATATATATATATATTAGGGTGGTCCAAAACTATATGGTAAAAAATATAAGTAGTAATATATTGCCTCCACAAGCCTTAAAATTGTCCATTTGGTTCATAGATAAGGTCTGTAAAATTTTATCCATATTCATTAACATTTAGAGGTCAATCCATTTTGCATATTATACTTGTAGTGTAGGACTGAATTTTCTTGTCCGCATGATACAGTCTTAATATACACAACACATTATATTGGGTATATTTCAATGTATATAGCCTAGTTGCCTATTTGGAAAGGGCAAAGAGTCAAGTATTGAGTCATAGGGACTGACAATGACAGGTTGAAACAGGAAACACAGACAAGGGTTACCATTAATCAGATGAAGTTACTTATTTCATTTATATCTCATCAGTTCTACAATTATTTAATTATCAATCTAAATAGTATATTATGCAGGTTTCCATCTTGTGTCATGGCATATGAATGGCAGGCAATTATTACCTGTGAGAAATAATTAGACTTAGTTACAGATTTTGTAAGGATGTTGGCAACACTGATCTGGTTCCAGTGAGTGCGCAGGTCTGAGCCACTTTGGCAGCTCCTCAGTTGAGTTACAACCTCTGCAGGAGAAGGTGTGTATTTGCAAAGTCTAACATTATGTTATTGGTTCTTTTTGTTTTCATTTATGGTATATATATTTGTAAATAATGAGTTAGTAGATTGTCACCAATACTATGTACTATTGAATATAGGGTATTTTCTTTTTTTATCAATATCATTTTCTTGTTATTGATCTTGTATATTTGTTTACAAATGTTTGTTTGGTTGCTATGGGTTACAACTGAATCATTTGTGCTGTAAATGAAGCATTCCATAGTAAACATTCCATAGTTTTAAATTCAAGAAACACTTATTTTACAATCATAAGTGTAAGAAAAACATATCCATATCCTTTTGTTTGTTCCTACAAATTTTCTATATATATTTCATATGTAGAGTATCAGTACACTTGAGTGGATGATCATGTTCACAGATGGCAGCTATTGGATTTTCCTGCCAATGATATTAGCCTTGTTTCATTTTCTTTGTTTGTGTATTGGTAATGAGTATTTTAAAGTTTCTTTCATTTGTGCGAGATAATTAATCAGCTAACTCTCTCTTTCTCGCTCAGGTACAATGGCTACAACGAGATCACATCCGAGGTTCAGGCTCCTGGGCAATTCATCAGGAAGTTTATCCATGTCAAGGCTGCCTACAAGTAAAGATGCCCTACTAATGGTGCAACATTTTCACATAAATGAGGCACAAACCATTACCGTGAGTTTAAACAAAGCATGTCTGAAAGTTAAGGAAGTTTGGGATCATGCTCATATCCCAACACAACGGGTAGATTCTTGTGCCCGTAAGCTTTCAAAGTTATATCATCAGTACCAGATGCTCAAAGTTAACCGGAATAGACAGCGTGAGAGTGACATAATGAAAGAACAAGTGTTCCAAGCTGATATTGAGAAGCTATTTGATATTGCCACGAAAGATGCAATGATGACAATGGTTAATTTGGAGGACAAGAAATTCCTCACTATGCAGCGGGAAAGTGTTCAGTCATGTAGCATGGCTAGTATTGATAAAGAATTAGCTTCACTTGAAACCAGGAGGCAACAGAGAAAGGAAAAAGAGTCCATGGCAAAGGCTAGATATGAAGCAAGGGAAGAATTTAATAAAACAGGACAAGCTTTCCACTACGATCCTTCTTCTTCATCGTCATCATCAGAAGAAGAGTATCAGCCATCAGCTCCTATTCCATCTTCGTCTGGAGCACCTCCTTTGAAGCGTTCTAGAAAAACTGATATTATCAAGTCACCAGTAGTCATTGAAGCCATGGACCGTACCAATTTATCAGACAGAAATGCTGTGTTTGTAGCTGGGGCTGTAGCACAAGCTCTTGGACACGATATTGCAGACATGTCGTTTTCTAGGAGTACGATTCGAAGGTGCTGTACACCCTAGAAGTGTTACAGAACAAATGTTTATGGGCTGTACACCTTAGGAGGTGTGACAGAACAAATCCTTATGTAGCTGTATGCTCAATAGTCTGGGTGATAGAATGTATATAATGAATATATTTCCTTAGCTCATATTTATATAATATTAATGTGACAGAGGCTAATACAATATACTGAACTGTATACCTATACAGTATTGTCTATATACATGGTGAACTGTATACCTGTATTAGCTATATACATAATGAACTGTATACCTACATTGTCTATATGCAGGTTGAACCAATTGTAAACTTATATGATAAGTTTACATAATATATATATATATATATATATATATATATATATATATATATATATATATATATATATATATATATATATATATATATATATATATATTAGGTGGTCCAAAACTATATGGTAAAAAATATAAGTAGTAATATATTGCCTCCAAAAGCCTTAAAATTGTCCATTTGGTTCATAGATAAGGTCTGTAAAATTTTATCCATATTCATTAACATTTAGAGGTCAATCCATTTTGCATATTATACTTGTAGTGACTGAATTTTCTTGTCCGCATGATACAGTCTTAATATACACAACACATTATATTGGGTATATTTCAATGTATATAGCCTAGTTGCCTATTTGGAAAGGGCAAAGAGTCAAGTATTGAGTCATAGGGACTGACAATGACAGGTTGAAACAGGAAACACAGACAAGGGTTACCATTAATCAGATGAAGTTACTTATTTCATTTATATCTCATCAGTTCTACAATTATTTCATTATCAATCTAAATAGTATATTATGCAGGTTTCCATCTTGTGTCATGGCATTTAATGGACAAGAGAAGCTGCTAGGAGTACCCAAAAAGAGAGAGAAACTGGAGGCACAGGCCGAAGCATGTTTGAAGCAATTAAATCATGGAATGTTGAGAAATTGGTTAAAGGACTTGTATTTGATACTACTGCTTCCAATACAGGATTACATCGTGAGCATGTGTCCGCATTGAAGATGAACTGAACAGGAACTTGTTTGATAGCATGCAGACACCATGTGCTAGAAATTATGCTAAGCGATGTCTTCAGTTTGATCTGTGGGTCAACTGGAAGTCCTGAGACTATTCTGTTTAAGCGCTTCAAAAAGCAGTGGAGGTCCATTTCGCTCAATGACTTCATTCCAGCACCAGAAAGCATGTTTGAGGACCCAATGCTTCAAATTCTAAGGAAGGAGTTGCTTGAATATTTGCCAGTAGCCCTGCAGGATAATCAGCCACGAGATGATTATAGGGAGTTTCTAGAACTAGCTCTTTGTTTCTTGGTGGACTGCCAAGTAGTAAGGTTTCTTCGAGTTCCTGGTCCTACACACCATGCAAGATGGATGGCAAAAGGAATCTATGCTCTCAAAATCTATCTGTTCAAACATCAATTCACATTATCAACACGGAAGAAAAACAATATCACACAACTGGCTTTGTTTGTGAGCATAATGTATGTGAGATTCTGGCATGAAGCACCAATGGCTGTTCGAGCTCCATTCAATGATTTGCAGCTAATGAAGGTTTTAAAGGAATATCCTCATGAGAAAGTTGCACGCAGCACAAGCAGCAATTAGCCGACATCTCTGGTATCTATCAGAACATCTTATCGGTCTAAGCTTATTTGATGACAGGATCGATACTGAAACCAAGAAGAATATGGTACAAAACTTCCAGTGCCCAAAGAAACAGGACTTTTCAAGGCGTATTGTCCTATCTGATGAAACTCCTATCAGTAATGTGGCCTCATTTGTTACTGAGCGTACATTAGATATTTTTGATGTTCTTACACTAGATGGCAAAGAAAGAGCACAACTGTTCTTGAGTAAGGATCCCAAAACATGGAAAGACGATGAAGTGTTTATCACAATGAGAGATCGTGCGATAAATATGAAGGTGGTGAATGACAGCGCAGAGAGGGAATTGCTTCTCATAGAGCGTTATAATGAGTCTATAACGCAAAATGAGGACCAAAAAAGTACTTTTACAGGTTGTTGCAGCTCATCGCAAGAAGTTACCAACGGCAAGCAAAGCTGCTATGATGAAGGGATACAAATAAAGAATGTATTGGTGTTCTAGAGTTATTTAGTTTGTAATTTGTAAAACTTATAATTGTATTTTGCTGAATAAAGACAATGTGTTTATAATGTGTTTATCTAGCCCTGAAAATCCTTATTACGTACTAAATGGAAAAAAAGAGGACATTGATTGACCTCTAAATATGCTTTAAATGATCCAATTTTTTTTCTGGGATGCATTTGTACCTAATGGACAAAAATAAACCTTGTGGAGAAAAACGTATACAAATATGTGATATTTTGGACCACCCTAATAATAATAATATATATATATATATATATATATATATATATATATATATATATATATATATATATATATATATATATATATATATATATATATATATATATATATATATATATATATATACCTAAAGTGGTCTAGTGTATGTAAATATTTTGATCTTTTCCCTGATAATGTTGTTTCATCACAGGTGTTACTCTGTTGGAGTGTGAGCCAGTGTGAGGTGGAGGTCAATATTAAACTGAGGTGTTTAGCTGTGGCTCTGGAAGATTGACAATTTGTCTTATTTTAATTATAAACCAGAACACCGTTATTTCTCACTGGTTATCCAGGTATAATTTGGCTAAATTTATCTTTTAAATTTACCTGGACTTAGAATGCCATGACAATATGATTTTAAATTAAAGATAAAAATTATATGCTTTTGTGTTTTTAAGGACTTTAGAATTAATATGATTTAGTGAGACTGTTGAACCGTTCAGGTACTTTACATATATTTACCATTTAGGTTAAACTAAACCGTAAATACATTTTATTGTTTGTTAAGGAATTCTATCTCATTAGTTCGGCGTCATTTAATGTTGCCGTAAAATCTGTCAAGTGACTTAAGCGCCAATTATTGTGTTATAGTCATGCCAGTTAATGTTGTTTTAGGAGATACAGTTTATTGTGTAGTGATCTCCGTTAAAACAAACTATTTTTATTGTCCAAATTTGTCGCGCTGGGTTATGAAGGTGTGCGTGGTGGGAAAGGCTTTGGAATAAGGAATACTGAAGGTGAAAGAACACTTGAGTTTGGGGATGGAATGTAATATGTGTTTAAGAATAGGACAAGTAGACTGACCATGTAGGCCTAAGGCAGGTGGCACAGAAACACAGATTGGCTACATTTTGGTCAGGAAATTAGAACAGTTTGCTTGTGTGTGTGTGTGTGTGTGTGTGTGTTACTTAAAGATGGAAGGAGAGGAAGAAGGTGGATGTTTCAAGAAGGAGAGTGTGGGAATTGTGAAGGAACTGAATATTTTGACATTATTTGACAATTTCTCTTTTTTTTT